ATTACATTTTAATTGAGAGTGTCAGTCACTTAAAAAAGCTTTGGCCATTATATGAAAAAAAAGTCTTGTGCTTCAGCTTTGTTATGCTTGGGTTGTTCTTCCCTGTGCCTACTTGTCTGGATAAAGCAATATGGTTAAACTTGATGATCTTAAAATTCTTTACCTAACCCTCTGTGATTCCTAAGTTGTCCACCTACCCCCAGTGAAAACAAGGTTTTCCTCTAGACTTCCATTATTACTATCCTCATTCAGAAATATTACTAGTGAACAAATTAGGAGATGAATTCCAGCAGTTTGAACAAGTAGCCAGGGAATCCCAATTTTTGGCAACATCATAGTATCCACAGCCTTGAGCAAGTAATCAACCTTCCCTTTGTAGCAGCTGGAATATGCAGTGGTGTGTTTGTGGAAAGCCTTTCAGTTCTACTGGTTCTTGTCAGGAAAAAACAAAAACAATCTACTCTTCTTACTTCTAAGTGCAGGGATGTTTTGCTTTTAAGCAATTTATTATTTTAAAAAATAGGGGGGGGTTGTATAAAATGTTTTTTAAATTATCCAGTTTTACTCTTATGGGAAACAATTTTGTTTACTTCAGGGTTTTATACTTTAGATTATTTTTGTTATCACTACAAATCTAAAAAATATAATCAACAACAACAAATGTCCAAGTTTTTCACAGGATGGCAAAATCCCTTACCTGCATTTCTGGATAAAAATGTGTTCTGTTCTTCAAGTGTGTTGTAAAGATTGATTCATGTCCTTGCAAGTGCAATGAAAAAACTCTTTTAACAGCCTAATGAGAGGTGATGGATTCACTGAGCTTTGCTTATGACCCAGCTCTGTCGGTTTTGGTATTTTGACATCTTTTCCTCAGGTTCAAATGGAGTCATCAAATTCAGAAGAAGATGAGTTGCAGATAAAAAGAGCTATTTTGTAAAGACTTTTCCAGATTTTGTAAATTTTGAGCTGAAAGACAATGGGGTTTTCTTATTTTACCTAGTTTAAGTCTTAAGAAGGAAGTGATTGGGCAGCTGCAAGAGCCCTTGCACTGTAAAGGAGTGGGGAACAAATCATCCACAACAGCCACATGTAGAGAACAGGGAAGAAGCAGGAGGCATAGCGAAGTCTGGTCCAAAGATTAACATGAGGATACTGAGCTGAGGATTATATGTATGTCAGAGACCTCTAACCAATTAATTTGGATAGCATCTTTTGACTTTCAGATGCTTGGTGATGAAACAGACTTTGGTGGATTCCTCCCTATTCCCAGATTGTTTAGGTCAAAAATTATGATAGTGTAAGCTAGCCCAAGTTCATGGCTTATCTCAACAAAATTGGCACCTGGAACTGGGAAACATTCCAGAGCTAGTTTTCTTTAGGATGAGAAAAGCTCATAATTGTTCTATATGCTCATCTGAATGCAGTCACAGTTGTAGTTTTCTCTTTATTCTTTGACACTGCGTCAATCTTTTTTTTTTCTCATAATTTTACACTGCATTTTGGAGGGATAAAGGTATCTGCAAACAAGCCCCCAAAGCCCAATCATCAGTCATAGTAAGCATTTTGTAAATTCACACAAAACCATGTTATTTTTAAACATATGCAGGTGCTTAAGAATCGATACATAGGTTCAAAATAGAATGATTTTTCTCACAAGGGTTTGAACATAGCTAGGGAATTGCTCAGTTTAAAATGGGTAAGCATCTGATGAATAAGACTAAGAGGTGCTTTGAGTGGTTGCATCATTATTTTCATCCTAATATAGTCCTTCTACATGTTTGAAAAACCCAAGAACAAGTAGAATCAATGAAGTTATCAATGCCAAGTTATGTTCACTAGTTAATAGGAAAATAACTATACTAGGGAAAACTGCAATTGTAGGAGCCAAGTCATCAATGTAACCTTTCAAGGTATTACACCTTTTTTGATCTACACATTCCTTAGCAATGTTTCCTAGTTTCAGCTTCTTCCTCCCTCTGCAAGAAACTCAGCACTGGTCACTTTTCGGTATAGAAACTCTCTTGAAGGTTTTGGAAACTCAACTGGAAATTTTATTGTGAGCAGCTTTTTGCATATATACCATCTCTCAAGTAAAATGCTAACATTTTTTCTGAGTCTTCACATATTTAATAATTATGTGCTGCTATTTCTCATTTTTTTTATTTTGGTCCTGGTAATGTGAGCTGTTGGCATTTCATGTATGTGAGGTGTTACTGAGGTGTATTTTATGTACAAAGGTCTGTTCAGCTACTCATTTATCAAAAGAAAGCATTAATGTTCAAGTTGTGTGCTGAAAGCTAAGTTTGCTAGTGGAGCTTACACATTTACATTTTTGCTGATGTTATTTATTCTGTCAAGTTAGAGCCAGCATGCAATTGACCTTTATAAGCTGAGTCATAAACTTTTATTTTGTTGCCATTGTGGCTTACCACAAGATAGACCCCTCCAGGGCAGCAAACATTCCCCTTCACACCCCTCCCTGGGGGTGTCTGTCACCTCCAGGCAGAGGCAGGGGAAGACCCAAGGACATTGTCAGTGGCATGCATCAGTAGGGAGAGGATGCTGTCTTCACCCTGTATCAAAGAGAAGGTTAGCGTGCCAGCAGTGTGCTCAGCCTTTCTCTCAGAGGCACTTCTGACTTTGATTCCTACTTCATACCATGTCTTCTAGGCAAGCCCCTTGGAGCAAGACCAGGGTAAGGAAATAGAGGAACAGAGTAGAAAACGGCATTTATTGTTTCCTGCTCAGTTCCTTGCTGGGGGTTTACACACTTATTAGCAGAAAGAGCACTACAGTGTGCTCTGCCAGCTCGAAGATCTTAAGGTCAGATTGCAAAAGGCAGTTCAGCAACACTTCTCAGCAGCCAGGCTTGAAACACTTGTTAAAGAACCACGACAGCATCAGGCCTGGATGTTAGTGAATGTTCCAGTTCTGGAGTTTCATAATTGTCCATGATGAAATGAAGTCTGACCCAAGACCAGGAAAAATCTTTTCTATCCCTTCTATTTCACTACTCCCTTCTTTTGCAGATGAAAAAGACCCTTTTTGTGGATGAAAGAGCAGCTCAAATTCTGCAGTCAAGCTTGTGCTTCTGCTGAAGTCACAGTAAGCGTGACAGCTGCAGTGATGAATTTCAGTATGAAGATTGTATGAACATCCCCCCATTCCCCAAAGAACTGTCTAATGCTGCCATGCATTTCACACAGCCTTCTTTCAGATATCAGGTGGCAACTCCTTTTGGTCATTAGTGGCTTGGACTGAGACTGAAATGTTAAGTAGTCCTAAAGATTACAAATCCATCACCAACTGGATCTGAGCAGCTTCTTGACTGCTTCCCAGTTCAATTACTGTATGCAAAAAAGGTGTCCTGACCTTCAGATTTTTAGTAACATCACTTTGCTTGTAGGAAGGGTTCAAGGACAAAAACTGCCAGGTGTGGAAGATTGATTCAGGGACCTCTTGAGGAAGCTCAGTCCACATAAACCCATTAGACTTGATGGGCTGCACCATCATTCTGAGGCTGCTTGCTATCGTCACTGAAAGGTCATGGAGACTGGAGACGTCTTCTGAGACTGCAGAAAAGCAGATGATGCACCTATCTTCAGAAAAAGGTCATGCAGGACAATCTAGGGAAATACTGAACAATCATGGAACCATGGAGCCATCTTGGCAGAAGTTTCCAGGCACAGGAAGGAGAATATGGTGATTTGGAACAGCCAGCATGAATTTACAAGGTAAATCACGCCAGATCAACTTAATTGTCTCTTGTGATGAGGTGACTTCATCTGTCAAAGAGGGGAAAGCAGACAATGTTGTCTACCTTTAGAGTTTAGCAAGGCTTTCCATGTAGTCTCCCACAGAATCCTTGTATCCAATTTCAAATGGATAGTTAGATAAAAAAACTAACTGAATCATTAGTCAAAAGGGTTTATGCTCTGTCTCCGCTGGTTACAGTGGAGTTTCTTCAGGAGCTGGCTGGTCTGATACTTTTATGAATGGCTTGGAGGAAGAGATGGGATGCAGTATAGTGAGGTCTGGAGACTGATGATACTTACTGGGGGGTGTACTTGACATGCAAGAGACCAGGCCTGCCATTCAGGGGGATCTATACTTACCAGAGGACTAGACAAACAGGAACATCATGAAGTTCTGTCAGGACAAACAGAGCACTCCTTATCTCAGGTGGACTAACTCCCACAGCTTGGTTAGCTGCTTTACTGAAAAGGACATGGGAGGCTTGGGGCATGCTGCACAGGAGTCAGTGGTAAATTCTGGCAGCAGTGAAAGTGCATCAGACTGTATCAACAGGAGCACAGATGGCAGATCAAGGAGATTGATTATTCCATTTTATTCAGCACTCATTAGACCACAGCTGGCATAGTGGGTCCAGTCTAGAGACTCCCAGTACATGACAGCTGCTGGCAGACTTGGAACGACTCCACTGAAGGGTCAGCAGGATGGCTGGAGGTTGAAGCATAAGAATTGTGAGGAGAGGGTGAGGTATTGAGGTTTGTTCAGCCTATGGAAGAGAACAGCAATTTTCCAGTTCCTAACAGAAGATTACCAAGAAGATAGGGCTGGGCTTTCTGCCAAACAATGAGACTAGGGCTGTAACCAGCAGGGGAGGTGCTGGTTAGATAGAAGGGAGAAAAAAAATGACACAACAGGAATAATTAGGTAGTGGAATAGAATACCCAGTGTTGTGCAGTCTCCACATGGGGATTTTTAAAGACCTGACTGGACAAAGACATAAGGGACCTCAGACCTTCCAAAGTCCCTTCCATTCTGAATTACTTTATGACAAACCTCAAATGGATCTTCTCCATCTCCTCAACAGAATCTCCTCTATGTAATACAGTTCCCATCAATCTGTGTATTTGAAGTCAGTTTACATGCTGCTATTCATGCAACAGACCAGGAAAACTATATAAAAGATTTCCCCTCTAGTTTTAACTAAACAAGATCTAAGACAATTTGGGCAAGAACAACACTAGACAGGATGAGACAACATTTTTTTTTATTGTTTTAATATGAGTGAATAGATTAAGAGATCTGAAATGTTGTAAAGCAATATACATACTGAATAAATAATATGCACAGGAGAGTCATGTCTACATTGTAACACTGGCTAGTATTCAGAATACTTCAAATAAATCCAGTGACATTGGATAAAGTCCATAAAAATGCTATCCTGTCTTCCCTTGTATGAAATTGTTCAAGTATAAAAAAATCCAATACAGTGTAAAATATTAAATTCCATTTCGGTCAAGAATAAAAATTGCAAGTATTGTAGTTTCACAGGACAATGTAAAGCAGCATTTTCTAGCAAAGGGAAAAATAGTCAGTCTACGTACAGATGAGTGAGAAAACGGCACTAATGTATTTGAGAGGTCTACATGAATAACTAGTAGAGGGAAAAAGAATGAACTAGCAATATTTTATGTAAAAACCTAAAAAAGTGTTAATTTAAGAGTACCCTCATACAGTGCACATACTGAATTTAAATAAATCCAAGTCAACATCCTTAGTTAATTAGGTTAATATTTAATATGCTACATCTAAGCCTACTAAATAATTTATACCATGAGATGAATACATAATTTTACAGTGTCACATCTAAAGTCGCTTTCTTTAGAGCGCAGCATAGTAAAACTTTCAAAATAAATATTTCTTTTTAAATAGCATAACAATTAAGGCACAGTATAAATCACATACCATTAACCCTTCAGGAACTGCAGTCTTGGTAACAAAAAGTTGCCTTGTGTACTGTATGTTTGCTAATAAATACTTTAAATATAATCCTGAAATAGATATTAAAATTGTACAAATGGTTTCAGAAAAGAAAATTCCCTTAAAACAGTTCTTAAAAGGTTTTAATTAATTAGGCTTCTTCCTGCCTTTATTCACAAGTTACGAATAGATGCAATAAATAGAAAGAGAAGGCTGTTGTAGTAAAGGGCTGATCCTATTTTAGAATCAGAATAGCTGACACCAGCAGTTAAAGTTTCCCAAAAGTGAAACGGGATGGGGCGAGGGATTAGGATGTGACAAGCTCATCACATGAGCACAAGTGATGTGTTCTGTCCAGAACTGTCTGTGTTATTGATTGTCTCTACAGCTGTTGCACCCCTTACTTCCACATCACTTGCTCCATAGTTCCACTCATCCAGAGGACAGAGAAGAAAATAACTTTGGTGCCTGTCCGCCATCTTACCAGCCGGCCATCTTCCTTGGGTTGTTCGGTGCCCGTCAGTGAGACAGTGACAAGGTCCTGTCTCACAAAGACAACTTCTGAAAGCTAGAAAGGACAATCAGTGCTTTAAGCTCATTTCCTCTTAAATGGTTAAAGGTTACATATTGCTGACTCAAGTTTTTTCCCTGGTTCAAACTTTTCAGATACCATTTTCTTACTTATAAAAGGCAGTTTTGCTTCCCTGATACTGTAGAAAGTACATCTTTGCTTTTTTTTTTGGTTCTTTTTTGTTCATTTGAAAAGATGAAGTCCCATTGCTACTCCTGCCACTCTTTCATGACAGTACAGTATTTTTCCCCCCATTTTCTTCTGGCTTGATACTTGAAACTAAACATGCCGCACTACCCTTCCCCTCTAACAACAAGATTTGGATGCATACTGTATGAAGACAGCGGAATAAAAATCTTTAGTTTCGCAATAGCATCGCTTTCCTTAAAGCTCCTTAGTTACTACGAATTGTCTCTGTTAACTACTTCTACTGGAAGGCCGAGAAGAGGAAGAGAGAGCTGGCGAGCTTCCTTCGGGAGTCCATCTGCTATTGCATGCGGTCTGCCTGCAGCTGTTGGGGCTGGTACTGGCCGAACGCCGCCGCGGCCGCCGCGGCCGTGCCGGGCGCTGCTGCGGTCAGGGGCTGCTGCACGGCGTAGCCGTAGCCCCCGGCCGCCACGTAGCCGGCGGCGGCGGCCGGGGAGGCGGCGTACGGGTACTGCTCATAGGCGGCCGCCGCCGCCGCCGAGTACTGCGCGTACGCCGCGCCGGTGTAGTCGATGTAGGGCGTGGTGGAAGCAGCGGCCGCCGCGGGCTGCACGTGGGGAATTACCACTCCGGGCTGCACAAAAGCCTGTGGATAGACATAGTGAGCGGGTATCCTGTTGAAAGATGGGAGAGGGAGTTAGAGTCGGTACGCGAGTCAGCGCCTAAGTGTCATATCCATACTCCGAACTAAAACAAACTCAATTTAGTTGTTGTTATGTGCATAGGGTTGCCACAATAACTTGACTCAATGGACCAATTATCAGTTCACTGGCCCGAAGAGATGCATCGCTCCAAAGCACAGCGTTGTAGCTGAGTTAAGCCGGGGTGTTCAGTGTTCCTTGAGGATATTATCTTTAAGGCCATTCAAAGTACCAGCATTACTGATGTCTGTTTTAAGACAATTCTGAAGGACTAAGCTTGATTATTCCATCTGGAAAATTGCAGAACTTGTTTTTCAAATCACCTGTAAGTCGTTTTTATTACCCCTCTTCTCCCTTAACTATTTTACTCTTAGTAAAATTACTTCCTGCAGTACTTTTATTATTAGTAACTGAGCAGTTTGACAGCATCACTGTAATGAGTTCGACAACAGCCAATAAGGCAACAAAATTATTGAACTCTGACTTTATGTCAAGTCTTCCCAGGGAGGCGTGTTAAGAGTGTATTGTGGCAACCCTACTTAAGTTGCTATGCAGACTCAGCACACATTAATTTCTCTGCAACCTCAGTCACCCTTATTAAAAATAAGAAAAAAACCAACACAGGCGACAAAGGAGTTTAAATAGAGTTCACAAGTGTGGTAAACACAGCAAGAATCACACTTTCCAAACGAACGATAGTGCAGCTCACTCCGTCACAAGAGGCCATTGAGGGGAAGCTACATAGATGCTATTAAAATCCATAACAGTGACTCCTAAGTACATGTGCATCACACTTTTATAAAAGTTCGTAAGGACACAAGAGTCAAACCTGTTTGATTATCAGGTCACTGATGTCCTGTTTTGTGCCAGCTTGTTTATTTCTATGCAAGACATACAGCATAGAGTTTTTTGGGAGGTGGGCATAAGATTAAGTCTAAATAGATCTGGTGCTTAACAAAAGCAAAAAAACCACAAATTTACAGTTTAAGAAAGAACCATTCTGAATAGATCAGTAAACACTTTCCTATCTTGTCCAAGTCACATAATTTGCTTTCTTGGCTTGTTTACTTAGCCCTTTAGATTTAAAAACTGGTCATATCTTTGTCTTAGCACACAAGTGTACATACACATTAATCTGATGGTTGGATTTTATATTATGATTTAAAAAAATACTTTTACATTCATAACCCTGTCTTGCATCTGGATTTCCAAAGAGAAGTCCTTCATATATGCAACTCCTTCCCAGCCAGTGAATCTCTATAAATGCATGAAAAACTTCTTGTACAGATTCACTGCTATTTCATACTGAACTTTCTTTACCTTTACAGACACCTCTAAAGACTGCACCAACATTTGAACACACTTTAGGCACAGATGAAAACTGTAGTAGTAAAAAGTGTCTTCTATTCTCCAAATTCAAGATTTCATGGAAAGGTTTGTTGGGGGATTTTTTGTTTCATTTTTAAAACAGCTTTAAGATGTACTTAAGGGGTCAACAAGGAAACATTTGCAATCAGAGAGGACACTGTCAACTGGAATCATAGCAAAACGTAGTTTAAAATAAGTGATAGACTTTAAAACAGCTTAGTTTTCTTTTTCAGAAAAAAAAGAGCTCAGTTGCTTGAATAGGAGTATTAGCAGAGAGAAATGTTCAGTTGCCATGTTTAAGACATGAACACCACAATCATAAAAACCCAACATGTAAATGAAATTCATTTCCTATTGTGGGAAGGGGAAAAAAAAATAGTGACAAATAGGGAGGGATTGGGAAGGGAAAGAAAACATAAAACGAAACCGTAAGTTGGGTTTTTAACACTCACCTAATTTATGAAGTGATTAGCCAGAAGTGCATTTGAAGCATACTTAAGCTGGCTCTGTGCATTTAAATACACATCATTACCTGAGCTCTCCGTATGGATGAGCATAAGCAAGCATTTTGTATTGGTCACCAACCAAGTACAATTCTAATAAACATTACACCATATTTCTTAAGCGTTTAGGGAAAGAAGTATAAAAACAAATCTGAAGTCACAGAGAGCCTCTTTTGCATCACGAAGAGTCCATTTAACACCACATCAAAGCAATCTTTACATTCAGCACTTATGGAAGAGAGTAATTCTAACAGAAGAGACAATAAGAAAGCTTTTCAGGCTGCTTGTGTTGCCTTGAACTGATGTTACTAAGATTTTCTGAAGACACTTGGATACTCGGCCATATCCTTGAAAAAGACAGAAAGATACATGTGCTTCTACTTAAGCTCTTGTGACTTGGTTTATTTAAGCCAAGAAACTAACAGGTGGTGAAGTTATGAAACATTATCTGTTTGCTACATCTTACCCTACAATAAACATAAACCCTGTGCAGGCTCCTCTCCACCATGCCATTTAACACATGATGATTGACAGCATAAGCTGCAGTGGGGCTATTTTTGATCATCTGTCATGCTACAACTGTTTTCAGTCAAGTAAAATGGCTTTATATGGCCAAAGTAAATTTCTACCTACTGCAGAGGCAAGGACACGAAGATCTCAGCCATTCAGAACCCAACTGCTTTTCATGCTCTGCCAGGTCAAAAGCTGAAAAAGCAATTCCCAGTTACACTAGAAATCCTTAGTGTCCTTCATTTTAAATAAAAGCTGCTGCTTTACTTTTCAGAGTGATAGTGTGAGAAATTGACAGGATTTAAGCTCTCTTTCCTGGCAGTAGTTTTTATTTTGGAACGTGTATTTACTGTTTTATGCTTTTGCAATAAAGGAAAATAGAAGCCGTATTTAACTTTAGCAGTAACTGTAGCTTTGAGATACTCAAAATTCAATGACCTACATCCCTGCCACATGCCTTAAGACTTTCTTTGTTGTTGTAACAGAAGATTTATGTTTAACTAAAGACCTCAAGAATAATCCTATAGGCAACAATAAAGTGAACAATAATTTCAAACGAAAGAAGACTTTTGAGATTAATGCAGAGAGCTGTGGCATATAGAAATTCAGCAGGAGTAGTGCATCTTTAACTCTCAGCATTACATTCTCAAAAAAACTAGATATTCAACTTAAAAAAAAATGTTTTGCTTTGGCCCTTGCATGGCATTGTTTGCTTTTGTATGCATAGTTAAAGAGCAGATTTTCACCAATGAACAGCTCTCCTTTTAAGAGAAATAGGTTGCATAAACATTAAACATACAAGACCCTTACTATGTTTCCTTTTATCTGATAACCACTAAGAGGACGTAACAGCAGGCTAACTTCTGACTGTTCCAGCTTCATTCCCTCTTTTCAGACTATCTGTAGTCTAGTATTATACAGATCTTTTAATCAAAAACTCAAGAGGGGGATTTTCCTTCTCTCTTAAGAAAGGCAGATTTGCCTAAATCTTGGAAGATATCAAGCATGTTGTATCAGCTAACTGTTTGATAATGGGCTTAATAACTTTGGATTTAACTCTGGTCTTACTGAAAACAATGGGTATGTTTTCATTTTGATATAAGTACAGGTTTTAGACAGAAAATAAAAAAATCTCCACACCAGTTATGTCCTTCAGCAGTACCTCTGAATAACCTTGAATTTTCCCACCAATATTAAAGTAAAAATTACATCAGCAAAATACGAAAAGCTATCTTGGGAAGCAAAGTCATCTTCCCCCTCCATAAATTCCTGTTGAATTCAGGGATAGTATTTTATAAACAATCCTGAAAACAAAGCTGTATAAATAACCAATTCTGTGATCAAATAGCTTTCAACGAAACACATCACCATAAGATGGATGCTGAATGTAAAGAGCAGGAAGAAATGTTATTCTGCAGCACTGAATAAAAAAAAATTCCCTGCATTTTAAATGTATCATGCGTTGAAGCTAATCTAGTTTCTGTCTCCCTCCACCACAACTGTGTTGTACTTAAGTCAGAATATTGAACTTCTGCATCTTCTCAGTAAAAGTAATGTAACATAATCAAATTATTTTAAGTTTATTATTTGATAGATGTGAAACCTTATGTTGTGGATGCCCCATCTCTGAGAGTGTTCAAGGCCAGGCTGGATGGAGCTCTGAGCAACATGGTCTAGGGAAAGGTGTCCTTGTCCATGGCAGGGGTTGAACAACATGATCTGTAAGGTCCCTTCCAACCCAGGCTGTTCTATGATTCTGTGATTCTAAAACACAGCTAACCGTACCAAAATATGGCAGCACCTCACTAATTTGCACTGTTAGGGAAAAAACCCAAAACTCAACCACAAAACATCTGAAGCTTTTGTGTATGGATTAGCTGAGTATTGGCACTGAATCACCACTAAAGCCTGTTTCACACAGCGTATTAAGGAAGTGTACTTCCAAAGTGCAACTGCACAGGAAGAAAAAAGGCTTTAGGGTGACCATGTATTTCAATGCAAACTGCACAGCAAAAGTGAACTCTTCAACAGAAGGAGATTCAAATAAGTGCTGAAACATCTCCTCTTACTTTCAATGAAGTGAATGAACATGTTCATTCATCCTAATGAATGCTGTTCTCCTTAATCTGAACTACATACTTTAGATAAAGGTACAGGTCACTGGAAATTCTGAGGAGGAAGAAGGATTGGTAATCTCTGTTGTTTACACATAGTAAAAGAAATGCAACAGCCAAGGATGAATGAAAAATTACCAACTTCATATATACATGACTCTGTGACCAACATTCTTTCAGATTTATGTGCAATGCATTAGAAATCTAACCTTATTCAGCTTGCTGGAAGGATTTCCCTGACTTAAATATGGTTTATGTCATCTATTGTTGGCTTTGGGTAAGGAAAGCAAGAAAGACTCCTACATTTGCAGAGTCCTTTAAGCAAGGGACTGCCACAGATCCTCCCTTTCTGTTGTGCTCAGCAAATACTCAGTCTCTCCACAGCTGATCCCTGCACAATTCAGTAGTTCCCTTTTCAACAAGTGTTTTAACAGCTCTGGAGAGGAGGTGTTCTGCCTCCTGCCTACCTTAGTGCAGGCATCATAAACTGATCACTGCATACCCACTGTCATCTCACACTTCAAAGAAGCAAGCAAAATACAGTAGAGGATAATCATAACAAGGTAAAAAAAAAAAAAGACAGTTTTTACAGCCTCCCCACTCTTGGAAGAATCAGCATGCTCTTTTAAAATGAAGTTTCTAGGAAAAACTTTTTCCTGTCATTTTCAGGATAGGAACTGTTTTTTCCTTCCATTCTGACAAATCAAATTACTGAGAAGCTGTTGTTGCTTAAATAACAGGTAAGTATGATATTCTAAAGCCATTCTAACCAAATAAACAAAATACATATATGACACATTTTCCCTACTTAATTGTTAGCTTATGCATTAATTAGCAAAAGGCACTATTTTGCAATGAGTTTCTCAGTCACTGTGCATTAGTGAAGTGGCACTACGGAAAGCTTAAAGCAGACTTCAACTCCTAATGATATGCCTATAAAAAGCAAGAGTTAGATCCACTTAGGAATAGTTTATACTCAAATTCAGGAGAAATGCACTACATATAAAAGACAGATTGAAGAAAAAATCCCCTCAAATTAGAAAGCCCAAATGGACGCACATCGTTAATAAGGAGATCCACACCCTTCCCAAGAACAAACCTCCCAAAAATTATGAACATGCAAGCAATATGTTGATTTACTTAAAAATCAAGAAGTCACACAATTTAGCACTCACTACAAAATATGGTTAAAAAAGTCACAGGCTACAGCTTGAAAGCAAGGAAAAAAAAGGCCCTTTGCTCCCCATGGCAAAGTCACTCCTCAACAACAAAACCAAAATTAAAAAAGATCCCCCCCAAAAAACTTTCACTACAGCTCTTTCAATTAAATAAAAGCACACAGTTTAGCTATCAACACCACTTCATTACTGTAATAAATAAAAAAAAAAGCACACGGAGGTCTATTGACTATATGAAAAAACATACATGCATCGTTAATCACCATTTTAGCTTGTTTGTGTTTGAGTCTACTGGTTACAGAGTTTAATTCCAAACAGAACTATTCCACCTCTTATCATCATATCCTTCTGATCAGTTATCTTAACTGTAAACGATCCCTGTCAGATTAGAAAGAGATAAATAACATTGAGTCAAGCTGAAAAAAGAGAAATGGGGCACAGCAATCTTGCATCAAGTCATACCTCCTTGTTTTATCATAGGGTCATGTGGGACTGGAGTGCTTAGTCGGAAGGGCCACGTCCCACACAACTTGACTCAGCTGCGGCATTTAGAACATGACCGACAAGGTGAGCGCATTTATGAGTATACATTTATAAATCTGAGAGCTTCAGCATTGCTGGCCAGCATTAAGGATGCTATTGCAAGAGGCCTTCAACAATCATACTTTTTCTTTCCTTTTTTTTTAAAAAAAGATTTTTTTTTCCTCCCCTGTTTGAGGTCCCATTGAGACTTACCCGAAAGGCCTCTGTATGAGAGCGGGATGAAGCTGCTGGACACCAAAGGCAAAACCTACCAACAAAAACACATCGCATTCTCTGTATGGGTGTTTTTTGGCCACTTATTTATGCTATATGTATACACACACACACAAAAAAACGCAGAGTAAGAGCCTTTACTAACAGCCTGCAGTAACAACAGCTAAAAGGCTGCAGAACCAAAACTTATAAAGTAAAATATATCAGTCCATACAAACACACACACACACACACACACAGAACTTAAACCAGTAACGCTGGTTTCACGCTTTCGTAGAGATGTTTAGGAAAATAACTTTTTCTAAACAAGTACAGAGTTTTTGTTCACATTTTACATGGTGCACCATTTGGATCCCTAACTTTAACATCTGAATGACTGTGTGGTACTTTCCATTCATTGGTGTATTTGTGTAATTTCTACAGACTTAAAGATTTAAGTCACCCCTACTCATCAGGACTTAGCACAGGGGGTCAAATCCCAACTTCATTTCTGTTCTCCAGACACCCTAGGGTAAACCCTGTCTTTCCTTGGCGGGCACTTAATTACTCTCACAAGTGTTCATCAGGCTAAACACGGGGAAATTCAGAATGACCTCCTTTAGAGCACAAATGTGCACACACTCCATGCTCCTCTCACTCTTGCTGCAAAGCAGCAGTCTGGGAAGTGGCTAGGACATCAGATTGTCTCAGATGTGGTCTTAGGAAAAGCCATTTCATTTTAAAATCTGCATAATAGCTCCCATTTGCTTGAGAAGTTTGTATTAAGATATTGTTTGTAGTAATAAGACCGCACACATTGGAAGCGATTTACTCTTAGGCCAATCTTACCCTGCAACGATACTGTAAATGGTCAGCGCCACCACATTCCCAGCAGCAGGAATAACCAATGAAGTGTTTGAGCTGTGGAAGTCTTCCTGGGGAACTCCAGATATTTTATCTTTGATCGCTTTTTTTTTTTTTAAATAAGGCACATGTGCAAAATAGCCAGAAAATTACTACATGCTGCATTTAAACATCAAACCCAAAGCACGCCTAACTGTGCGTGTACTTCAGGAAGGTGGAGGGCAGCACTACCTTTTTTTGAAGTTTTACTCTCTTCAGAAACCTGAGGTACGGAGAGAAAAGCCATTCAGGGCTGCTTCCTCACCTGGCTGCATTATCCGCGGCTTGGCACCCAGGTACGCCAGGTTCACGTTGGCTTTCCTGCCATCGATGATGGGGTTGGGGTCCTTACAAGCCCTTTCAGCAGCAGCTCTGTCAGCCATGGTGACCTTAACGGGCGATGCCGCGCATTAGATCCCTTTCCGCGGGGAAGGGGAAGCCTCCCGCCCACAGCAGCGACCCGGCCGTACCCGCGGGTGGCGCCGAGGGGCCCTCGGCCGGACCCCGGCCCCGGCCCGCCCGCCGAGCGGAGCAGGGCGCCGGCAGCCGCGGCGGGCGCAGGGCGGAGGGCGCGGGCCGAGCTCGGCCGCCGGCAGATAAACCCCGCAGCGGCCGTATCAGCGAGCAACAGGCGCGCCGGCGGTGTGCGAGGAATTGGGTAATTCCCCCCCTCAATCTCCTTATTCAGTAATTCCCCCCCCCACCCCCTCCGCCTCTATCCAAACTCCCCAGCAGGGAGAGAGAAAAATAAAAAGGGGGAAAAAAAAAAGAGAGAAAAGCAAAAAGCCGGACGCTCGGTAGCCCCTCCCGGCCCCCGAGCTCTCACAGCGGCCCCCGCGGAAGTTTCCCCGCGATGCCCCCCCGCAGCCGCCCACCGCCCTGCCCCGCGCCCCGGCACTTACAAAGCCGTATCCCCGGGACTTGCCCGTCTGCCGGTCGGTGATGACCACCGCCTCCTCGATGTCCCCGAAGACCTCGAAGTACTTGCGCAGGCTGGAGTCGGTGGTGTGGTAGGGCAAGCCCCCGACGAAGATCTTGGTGTAAGTGGTGTCCTTCTGCGTCGTGTGCATCTTCAGCCCGGCCCTGCGCGCCGCGATCTGCACCCACGCGTGGCGGCCGGGGCGTGCGGGTCCTGGGCGGCGAGACCCGCTTCCAGACTCAGCCCCGCTCCTTTTTTCCTTTTAATTTTTTTTCTCTCTCCTCTCTTCCCCCGCCCCCCGTTTTCCCCCCGCCACCCAGCTACAATGCAATTCCCTTCTGCCTTTGCAGACCCAGCTTCCTCCTCCTTCAAGAGCGGAGCCTCGCAGCCTCGGGCGGTTTTGAGGTAGGTACCGGCAAAAGGAGGAGGGGAGGCCGGGCAGCAGCCAGCCTGGCGGCCGTAGTGCTGGAAACGAGCAGAAACAGCAGCTGGAAGAGGAGTGCAGGGCCTGGGCTCTAACAACTGAGTGGCCTCCCCCCTAAAAGCCACCGGGTCGGTCACTCTCGGTTCCTCCTCCTCCTCCTCGCAGGGGCGGGGACGCCGGCGGGGCGGACCCCGCGCTCGGCCGCGGCGCGGCCGGGGCTGACACACAGCTGTTGGCAACAGCTGGATGCCCCCCGTGCGGCGGCAGCCGGGCCTCGGGGCCGCCAGGCAAAGGGGCGGCCTCAGGGGTGCCCCTCGGGGACGCCCGGTGCCCTTCGAGGCAGGTTTGCTGCAAACAGCAAGTGCCAGGAGACATGGTCCGGTGGGGTCAGAGGTGCCCGGTCGGCCAGAGAGCCCGCGGGCACAGCCGGCTCACTGCCTGCTGGCGGTCCTCAAATGCTTCGATCCCTCCCCGAGGGCTTGTGGTCAAACCTCTGCAACCTTCACTTACTGCTCTCAACAGGCTAACGAGACTACGGTGCTGCAACACGTCCATTTTTATTGTGGTGGTGCTGGTGGTTGTGGTTCTTGCTGTTCGTTTGGTCACAAGATGAAAAAAAATGGTAAAGCTGTTTCCCTTGTTTTTCTCTTCTTTTTCTGCCTCTGCCCAATGCTGGGACTGGAAAGGATGAAGAGAAACATAAAGAAAGGAATGTCTGTGTGACATGAAGAGACAGAGGACTGTGGGAGTTGGGGGGAAGGGAGACTCACAGGGAGACGGGAAGGATGGGATGAAAGTTAAAGATTGGGGAAAACAGATGTGTGTATGTGTATAGACTTCTAAACCATTCTCTTGCAGTCCCAAAGTCTTGATGAGTACTGTGTGTCTCTTTCACCTTCTTCTTCTGTCTGCTAGGCTTTTCCCTCTGAAGACTCTCATGCTTAGAAAAATGAGCAGTGAATCATTTGCAGGACAGACTTTCACTAAGTTCTTCAGCCCCTCTGGTACCAAACATTAACCATAATGAGAGCACTTAGCCCCAAACTCAGGCCCTGTTTGCCCATATCTAACCTTAGCTCTCCATTTGATTTTGTCATCAGTAGTTTTCCTAGTTCTAACGGCCTATACCTATACCGATCCTAAGCCATGCTATCACTAAACCCTACTTGACTCTTCAGACTCTCCAGATTAAATCTGGTTTAACATGTTAAGGCTAACTCAAGTGAAATCTAGCAGCACCCACAGGATGAGACATAAATGTTGCTTTTCAATTGAAATTATGACAAGCCCTTAATGTTCACCTGAATTCAGTTAGGTCAGCTCACTCTGTCCCCAGATGTCTTCCAGCTTGACTCTCCTGTTGGTCTGGAACATTGTGTTAAACCTGACACTCCAGCCACTTCTGTTTTGAGGGCTAATTGTAACTTTAAACTCTAGCCCAGTGACCTGAACTTAAATAGTAGCCCAGCTAAGGGTGTCAGTGCTCAATGGAGCCCTGTAGCACACAGCTCACTTAGTAGTGCATTTACCTTCTCAGACCCCTGTGGACCTGGAAGATGAACTTCTAAAACGTTAATCTCAAACCAAATGCAGTCCACCCCATCATGTTTCCTTTCCCTTGCTGTGCCCAGCACTCCTGAGTGTCTTGTGGTGTCTGCACAAAGGGTGAATTAGCCTGGCTTTCCAGTCATTGCACAAACTCCTGTATTAAGGCCAGAAAAGCAACATTTGGCTGTCCCAGAAATACTTGCAGATGTATTTAGGAGTTCAGCTTTTTCAGCCCAAGGGGAAGACTGATGACATTGACAGACCCAAAACCAAAATCTAGCTTTTTGGTCTAGCAGCAACAGCAGGTCTTTGAGGACTCAGAAAAAATCCTGGTTTTGGGTTTGTTTTTTTTTTTTTTTCAGAAAAAAACCCTAATTTTCCATGCCTGTGTCTCAACAAAAGACACACTTCTTGCATGTAGGTAGGGTTCATCATGCAGCCCTTGTTTGTACTGCTAATTCAAAATATCTGCAGTACAGTTTTTGACCTACTCTGACAGGCTAACACATCCTCTTCTGTAAAACCAGAAGTGAAGAGATCAAAATTAACAGATTAAAATATACATTAACAGATCAAAATATATCCTCTAAGCTATGCTACAACATCCTACTACTGTATTAGCACCCTCAATTTATGATGGCAATCCCAGTAAAATTCAGGAATAAATACCGTTCTCTAGCCCATTCATTCCTATAACTGAGCTGTATCACTAACACCATAACAAGGGGAAAACATCCCCTACTATTGGAGTATAATTCCTCAAAACTCAGTTTTACCTTACATCCCTTCTAGCATCAGACCTTTTTCTGCTTTTGTGGTCCTGACAGAATCTAGGGTATGATTTTCCAGCCTTAAGATTCCTAGGAATCCTTACCTAAACCCCAGTGATACTTCATCATTTGCAACCTCCTCTAGTCCATTCAGTCCACTGTCAACAAGCCTTTATTTTTGCATCACATAACCTGTGAAAAACAGGCCTCCAGCTCTTGGATGCATGATCTTATGACCTAACTGTGGCTGATACGATTCTATTAGCATCAGGCTATCTACTCCTTCAACAGCCCTCAGAAATAAAAATCTTTTCCAACCATATCTCAGACTTAATCATCACTTTAGGTTTACCCAAAGAGAAAGGTGACCTCTATGATATGGAAATTAATTAAAGACCATTTGAACACTTTAGTGATCAGGAATACATTGTATACTTCTCTCCTATAACATAGGTTAACTCCAGATTTTGGGCTAGTCTTAGCCCAAAGGAGGTTACCATGTACAGGCTAGGAAGGGAGTTCTTTCTGATTCACCCATTGTGAAAATATTCTGGACTGACTGGGGCTTATGTCTTTGTGGTAGGGCTAGGTTTCTCCAAAGCCTGAAGAGTGAGGATTATCTACAGAACCTGTAGGTGCCACAGGAAAATGATGAATCTGGATGAATTCAGATGAGGATTAGCCTGAAGTTAGCTTGAGTTGATGGGATAGTGTTTACCTGGCCATGCTGGATGTCTGGCTAAGTTTACAGTCAGACAAATGGATTTTAAGATTTAAAGGCATGGACTGTACAACATTTATTGTGCTGAAGGGAAGTCTGTGAACAACTTCACCGGTGTCATTTCTCCACTTGCTTAAGTTAATATGTATTTTGGTGTATTTTGGTGTTTTGAGATGGATCAGCTGGCTGATACTTATTGCTAGGGATCTGGTTGTGGCTTCGGAATGCAAGTGTAGCAGAAAGAAATGTATTCCTATATGCTGCAAATTTTGCAGGAATAATGCCACTGGTGAAAGTGTGGCAGTTTGGGAAAGAAGTGAGAACATGTGGAAGAGGAGTGTTTAGGTAGAGCATTCCTGGGAGAGATGTGAAACTGATGTTCCTAAACACATGGAAATTTGGAAATTGAACCAGGGTTACCCATGTTTTGGTAATTACCCAAACAGCAGATCACTGTAAAAGAGCAGGATTGTTCCTGTAGGCAGCTATTTTGGCCTTTTCAGGATCTCAGTTTTAAATCAAAGTAGAACATAGGCACCCAGCTCCTGCTGCAGTCTTATATATTGCTGACAATCTCTCCTAGGTATGGAGGTATTGTTGCTGAAGGGTATTGTAGCTGCCAATTACGTTCTATGTAATTTTAATGGTTTTAAAATATATATCTGAAGCTATAAATGAGAAAGTGATCTAGTGTTTCATTTGGAACCTAGTAACACAGCTTAATCGGAGGAAACCCCAAAAGCTAATCAGTCACAATTAATTGGTTTTACTCAGAGATTTTGTGTTTTTGCTGTCGAGGTAGGATAGAATAGACAGCTTTCCAGTTTACCAAATGTTGCCACTCAGTGGTATCAGCGTAACTGTAATATCATGCTTTTTATTTATTTATGAACACCATATGCCTGTCATGTTGGAAACCAATGGATGTTGTGTGTTCATCCATTAGGTTTCTGGAAGCAACAAAGACCTGTGATTATATTGCACACCAGTCATTCTTGCTAGTGCTTTATTTCGGTGAATAATTGTGGTCTTCAGAACATTCACTGCACCATCAGTTAAATGCAGCTGGAATTTCTATATACGTATACATCATATACATATACTTACATGCACACTTTATTTGCTAACACTATTATTAGAATGCCTGGGGCATAAACCACCATGATTTGTTATGCAGGGATGAAAATAAAAGTAATCCTTTCTCTGTCAACCTAGCAAGACTATCAGTTGGGTCAGTGAGACATTTCTGCTGAAGTTCCATAATGCCATAGCTCTGTGAAAGCATTTGGCTAATAACATTAGGCACAGCTTTGTCTGCTAATCTGTGCACTTCCACCAACCACATCCCATTACAGAGGAGAGCAGAATGTCTAACCTCTGCTCTGCTCAGTGTGTGCTACATGGGTGTTAGTTTGACTTTGTCTAGGGAAGCATAAAGTAGGTAGTACACTCATGTTCCAACAGATCACAGTGAGGGAAACTTAGAAGTCTCATCATCTTCTCACTCTTCTTGATGATCTACAATCTTTATCTAGGATAAGTTCTTGAATTGTGAATTTCTGCTAAAAGTTTCCTAACTGGGGAAGCTTCCATCACCTCTTTCCTGATAGTGTTCCTATTATAACAGATTTCATCATAGGATTCTTTTTTTCCCCGAAACCTATTAATATTGCCATATTCCAAAGTCCCCTTTGTTACAGTATCAGAGCTCTAAACCACATGAACTTCAACTATGAAAACATCCTTATTCCCAATTAAATCCCCAAATGTCAACCACCAGGTGTAGTTTCTGATGGGAATATTTTTCTCTTTAAAG